AGCGCAAACTTGTGCACCATAGCTCCCCCCCCCCCCCTCTCTGTCCTAAACAATACCTTCCATGATTGAACTCACTGGCCCCAGGTAATTTAGAATGATTTCATTCTTTTCATCTGAAGGTATCTGGATTCGAACGTCAGTCTGTATTTCAATAGCTCATAGTTCCGGGGTGTACGAACTGAGCTAGTAGGCCCGTTGGTCAACTGCGCGTTTACGTACTGGCCTGCCACTTCTGCTAGCGTGCATCAAAACTCTTGCTGAGTAACATGGTAAGAGAAAAAAAAGAAACTGTGGCCTCATATACCATCCTGGGCATGCTTGGGGCCGGCCACCTGTGTTTTGTTTTCGCCTGTTTTTCTTTTTATGTTTGTATTATGATCCTCAGATCCTGCATTGTTTGTTCGCCAAATTTTTGACGACATTGCTTGTGGTGGTGCAGCGAAAAACCCCGGATTTTTTTGGCCTTCCATTAACCATCTCTCTGAGCCTGCACTGTTTGTTCATGAAATGTTTGACGACATTGCTTGTGGTGGTGCGGCGAAAACCCCTCAATTTTTGGCCTTCCATTAACCATCTCTCGCCACCAGGAGATAGCCCGTTGGTCCCCCAATTGGCATTCAAAAGCAGTCTCTGCTGATGTTCATAGGGGGAGGGGTAAACTGGCCACTTAGATGATGCTCGGTCCCTCTGCTACTGGCTGTCCCTGGCCAGTGTGGCCCAGTGCGCCCACTGGGGGTTCCCTGATGGCAGTAAGTCCACCCTGGGCTTGAAAGGCCACCTGGTGTCAGATTAGAGTCATTAGACACATGATTGAATTTACCTGGGCTGGTTAATCCGATGATAATACCCTAAGGCCATCGCCCTTTTTTTTTCAAAAACAAGTCAGTGGCTAGCTCAGTTGGTAAGGCATAAAAGTGGCATTCAGGATGTCATAGGTTCAATTCCCACTGGCCTCATGTACCTACCAGGGGATGGTGATGGTGCTTATTTCTGTAGGGGGAGGGGATGGGCTGCCACCTACAGGTTGGGTGCAGCCCCCGGCATGCACTCCCTGTGAACACATGATCTGTTGCTGATTTGAGGTTCCCCATAGTACTACAATGATATGATGACACAGCTCCAGGTTGGGTGCAGCGCCCGGCATGTTCTCGCTGTGAGCACATGATTGATGCTGCTTTGAGGTTCCCCCTAGTTCTAACAATGACAAGGGCCTGATAGGTCGTCCTCTCCTGGAAGCATGAATTGGGTTGCACTACTTAGTCTGTATGGCGCCTATCTATGGCCCTCAGCGAAACCAGCCGATCTCACCTCTGGCGCGCAGTGGTGGCCCATAGCACCCTACTACGAAGGGATGGACCTCACTGCGCAAGGGCACCACTGCCAGATTCATTACACTGGAGACTTTGCCAGACGACTTTGAGAGCCGCGTTACCAAATTTGGGAGCAAAAGCCAGCCGCCCCTCAGATGTCTCCTGAATCGTCCTGCCTGAAACGACCGTCCTGACAGCTGTCGAGTTTTTCCTCACAGGTCCAATTCGAGAGCAGGTGTCGCAATGACTTGCTCTGGAACTGGCGGGGCCCCTACTACCGTAGTGTGAGGATGCCCTATGAGGGGTTGACGAAAATTGATGCATCTGGACGATTTGGTCAGTCTGGTCAGTTTGGCGAATCTATTGTAATGAGGAGAAATGCAGCCTTCACTCTGCCATAGCTGCTCTCTTTCTCTTTCCTTTACACATGCCACGTGGCTCTACAAGCTATCGACTTTTTCTTTCCACGTGACAGAATTGTCGAACCCGGCGCTTGCGGGCAATCAGGGAAGGTGGAGAGAGGGTGGAGCGGAGAAAGGTGGTGGTTTGAGAGAGTACGGGGCTATCTACTAGGGGTAGCCGGCGGCCATGGCAGGGATGGGGTCCTGACTTGATGCCGGCGGCCATGGCAGGGATGGGGTCCTGACTTGATAGCCGTTGGATGGAATCATCTACCGGCGGAAAATTGATGCATCTGGCCGATTCGGTCAGTCTGGTCAATTTGGCGAATCTACTCTAGTGAGGAGAAATTGCAGCCTTCACTCTGCCATAGCTGCTCTCTTTCTCTTTCCTTTACACATGCCACGTGGCTCTACAAGCTATCGACTTTTTCTTTCCACGTGGCTGAATTGTCGACCCCGGCCCTTGTTGGCAATCAGGGGAGGTGGAGAGCGGGTGGAGCGGAGAAAGGTGGTGGCTTGAGAGAGTAGGGGGCTATCTACTACCGGTAGTTGGCGGCCATGGCAGAGTTGGGGTCGTGACTTGATAGCCGTTGGATGGCATCGTTTACCGGCGGAGGAGTGAACTGTCGTGAGATGTAGGAGAGCGGAGGGTCGGAGTGTTCAGGCTACCTACCTTTTCTCAGGAATCCGGACTGGATTTGCAGCAAGATGCATCCATAGAAACCCTGGTGTGGAATCTGACTACTTCGCCGTCGGATCGATGCATGACTGTCTCCAATTGATCGACGAGGTGTTGGATTTTGTTTTTTTCCCTCTCTTTTTCACCAATTTATCTACGATCGATCACTCATTTAGATGATCTGCTTGATCGATTCTAGACGATTTGTCATTAGTGATCAGTTTGATTGGTTCTCGATGACTTGTAATTAACTAGATGACCTGGCACTAATTAGAAGTGACCTGTTGTCTTTCACCGGACCTTCGGCCTCCTTTTGTACGTCCTTCTCGGACTTCTCCTCCTCCATGAGGATGGTCTACAGGATTCATAGCAACACCACGAACAAGACGTAACCATCTACTTTGCCCTGCTTTCCTAAAATTACGCGTACCATGAAGGTGAAGTGCGACCCAGCACCCATCAGGACGATGAGTCAGACTCGTTCCGATGAGTTTTCACTAATTACCCGACGTGGCACTAATCAGAGGTAATACCTCCTTGAGAGAAAACCATGGCTCGCCGCTGATCGCTATCCCACCATTGTCTATATATAACGATTCCAAGTGGTACTGGACGACTTGTTATTAATTAGATGACGTGGCACTCATTAGCTGGGAGGACACTAATCAGATGGTGGGGCAAAAATCAGATGGCGTGACAGTAATCAGATCACGTGGCACTAACCATATCACGTGGCACTAATCAGATCACGTGGCACTAATCAGGTGACGTACCATCGTCTGTACGTATTGACTCATGGTAGAAATTGATGATTTGTTACTCATCAGATCACGTGGCTCGAATTGGACGGAGGGCCTTTAATCAGCTGACATGACACTAATCAGATGACGTGGCGCCAGGCAGATGGCGGGGCACTAATCAGATGAAGAGTGTGTGTGTGTGTGTGTGTGTGTGTGTGTGTGTGTGTGTGAGTGGGTGGGGGGGGGGGGGGGGGGGTGGGTGGGTGGGTGGGGGATAGGGTGGGTGTGCGCGCAAGGAGAAATGTGAGAGGAGGAATGGTGTGCTGCTCTTTCTATGAAGGGCTTAGAGTTAACAGAAGAAGCTTATTTAATCGCGGGGTGATGTGAATACTTGTTGTTGTTGTTTCTCTCCTTCTTTTGTATTTTGCGATATCATCATAGAGGTGATCGGCGCTAGGTATAATTCATTGCACTCGCATAGGATTCGAACTTGGGTCTGTAATTCAACAGTTCATGGGTGTACCAACTGACCTAGGCTCGTTGGTTTCTTTAAACTGTATTTTCCACTTCCTCCATGTTCCTCTTTACGAGCAAGAAAAACAAATAAAAAACAACGAAAAAGGAAAGAAAAGGGGTCATTCTGCTCGCATGATTCCCTGCTTATACTAAATTGTCTCTTAAAAAAAAAAGAAAAAAAAAAAGATAGTAGTTAGTGAGGGAACGGTGGATTTGCATGGTCGCTTCATGCTGCTGTTTACTGATGAGAGGGAGGGTCAATAAGGAAAGACATCAGGGTGGCTGTATTGGACTGAAAACATAGCTTGTATACATTTATGACCGGGGTGCGATGTGTTCGGGGAAAGACGATAAGCTCACGACCAGGAGAGCCGAACCTGGTCGGACGGTTGTGATAGCTGTGCAGAAGCCGCCTAAAATTTAATTTATCTGCTTAGGCCCGGTTAGTGTATTTGAATGACCAGATTGGGGCTGGCAGCGTGTACCCGGGCGGAGAGAAAGCTAGGTTCATTCTGATCCGTATAGATTACATTATCCTTGGCAGGGCCCCGTAGAAAAGCAATTCTTCGCTTTTTCTATTAACCCTCCTTCCTTCCCTCGGTTTATTTCTTTGGAAGAAACGAAGCAGTTAAAATAAAAAAAGAAAAGAAAACCCATGCCCACCTCTTTCCATTGCGCGGAAACACCGTCACGTAAGAATGAACTCTGAGACACATTGTTTTTTTTTTCTGTCTGTGAACTTCTTAACAATTGAAAAGAACAGTGTAGTTAGAAGATAGCCAGCTCAGCCTTCCTCCCCCCCACACCGCACACACACACGCACTCCACACACAAGCACGCACAGAAAAAGAGAGAGAGAGAGAGAGAGAGAGAGAGAGAGAGAGAGAGAGAGAGAGAGAGATTAACAATCGAAAAGAACAGTGTAGTTAAAAGAACAGTGTAGTTAAGAGAAAACCAGCTCCCCTTTCCCCTCCCGCTCCCCGCCACACACACGCACCACACACACAAGCACGCACAGAGGGCGTATACACATCTAGATGTGTATAAGAGACAGAACCTGGGTCACATGCTTAGAGAGGCAGTTACTTTTAACTGCCCCTATTTTTTAATTTCTTTTTGGGGACTCAGCTATCTCGGATTTTTACGAGATAGCTGAGGACCTTCCATTTCGAAAAGTTTTTTTTTTTTTT